AAATCAGCAGCCAAAAGAGCAAAAGACAAAAGGGTAAGCTTAGCTCATGAAGAAATCTTTCCGCAATGATGATGATTTTAAGGATCTAATGGTGGTAGTGGTGGAGCCCTTCATTATGATGTGGATTCAGCCCCTGTTGCTATCTCTGGGGTCTTAGGCCAATGTGGAAATTGGGTGTAGGAAAGGGAGAAGCTCATGTTGGTTGGATCTTGAACGGAAGATGACCCTCTGCAAGTTCTTGACCTCCTCTAGAAGATGTTACATAAATGTTTGTTACAGCACAGCGTCGCCCTCATCAGATCTGCTTTAGTGGACGTCTCTTCCTGGCACTTACGCTTACACATATGCTGTGAATACAGAGGTTTTTCTCCTAAAACGAAGAAGCCTGTTATAAGTGCTGGATGAGATTGTCTTAATAGTGACTCCCAGAAAGTCAACGCCAAGAGGAAAAGTACTTTACACTGGGTCCCCTTCCCTGGCTCCTTGGGGTCATGTTCTCAAGCTCCACCTTAACTGGCTCTGGACACCAAACCCCTCAATGGGAAGTTGGAAAGTACCCTTTCTTTGCACCCCCAACCTTTTTACTTCTTGTCTCACTCACTAGATAGTGGTAAGTTATCCCAGGCACTAGCAATAGTGACGGTTATTTGAAGGCATTTTTGGAATTTGCATCATCCCCACTTACCCCTGTAGTAATATATGGTTGAACATGACTCATTGTCTTTTGCAATGCAAATGCCTTTGCCTGCCATACACTTCCATCCGTTTGAGTATATGCAGACATTACACTGGAGAACCAAAACTGCAGAGTAGAGAGAATAGGGTATTCAGGCTGGGCTGCAGGGCTATGGGAGAATGAATTCATAGCATCGTAAAGAGGCTGTCCAGTTGCATGACTGGAGAACCAAAACTGCAGAGTAGAGAGAATAGGGTATTCAGGCTGGGCTGCAGGGCTATAGGAGAATGAATTCATAGCATCGTAAAGAGGCTGTCCAGTTGCATGTTGACTATAGTGTCCATTCTCTCCATCAGCTGGTATTTGTAGAATTCCTGCTTAACTTAGCCTTGTGAGTTAAACTAGGAGGTAGATAAAAAAATGATGACATAGTTTCTGTGACCTGGATAGTGTCCATTTATATTTGAAGGCAAGATAAACACGTGAAATAATTAGAGAACATGAAAGAAGATATATAGTTGACCACATAAATTATGTGATTCAGGTTAAGAGTATAGCCATAGGCAGAACACTGTGGCTTGGAAAGTAAGGGAATACTTCAGCCAGGGACTTGAGTTGGCATTGAGATGTAGGTTGGATTAAGGTAGGTGGGAGCAGGGGTGGGCAGATAGGAAAGGTGTGCTAGATAGGAAATCATAATGAGAAAGGCCACAGAGGTAGGAATGAACATGGCATGTTCAGAGCAGACTGAGATTACACCCTCTGCTGATGGCCCCGTCTGGCTTTTCCTGGTCTTTCTGTCTTTTCAGGGAACGACTGCCACCAAGCAGAGAGAGGGGATCCAGTAGTCCCTGTGGCCAGGAAGTAAGGAGAGAGGAGACGCAGGGTAGGGAGATGACCTCAGAGCCCATGGATAATTTAGATTTTAGAACTAAGTGATGGTGAAGGTGGGAAAAGGGTTATTTCAACCTTTATCTCAGACATTCCAAGGTTATGGAATCAGAATTTATATGGAACCCAAGAGACTTTGAGTACTGTTGGTTTATGTCAGACTTTGGGAATGGTCTTGTGGCATCTCTTCATTCTAAATTCCATCCTCCCTCACTGTTCTTTGTGAAGACTATCTTCACAAATGTTGCTAGTGATGTCCTAATGATCAATGCAATTGCCTTTGCATAACCCTAGAGTTTATCCATTTATTCATTCACTCAACAATGTTGAATTAAAGTGGTGAGATTGGACATCCTTCCCCTTTCTGCTTATTTAGTGGGAAAGAATAATGTTAGCTTTTGTTTTTTGAGCATATTTTACATTCTAGAAATTGCCCTAGGTGCTGGGATCACAAAGATAAACAAGGCAAGTGTTGTTCCTTCCTTCATACATCTTCGGGAGACTGACATTAAACAAACAAAAACACAAATAGTTAAGTACACTTGTATTAAGTGGTATCAAGGAATAGTTAAGCAGGCAATGAGAGCATTTAAGAGGAAAGAACTAACCTAGTTTAGAGAGCCAAAGAAGAATTCCTTGGGAAGTGGGATGTAAACCGAGGCCTCATGATGTATAAGAGTCAGCAATGTAAATGGTGGTGTGGTGTGGGCGGAGTGAAGAGCATTTCAGGCAGAGGGAATGGCATGTGCAAAGAAGCCTATCCACTGAGGAACAAACACGCTAATGTAACTAGGGCACAGAGAATGGAATGGGTTTTGCTAGAGAGATGGTTGGTAAGTGGGCAGAGGTTTGATCTCCTGAGATCTCATAGGACAAAGAATTGAGTATGGTTTTTATCCCAAGAGCAATGGGAATCCATTGAAGCATTTTAAGCGGGGTAGTGATCTGATTCTATTTATATTTATCTAGTATGTCAACATAGGACTCAAAAGGTACAAACAGAAAACAATTTTCTTCTTTTGCCCTGATTCCTATTTAAATATTCTTTCTTAATCTAGTTCTCTTACTCCTGGAGGTAATCTCAGGCATACATTATAGCTTGTTCATGTACTTTTAGAAAAAAAAATCTTGCCATCACTTTCAGGCATGAGAATAATCTGGTTTCAGTAATTAATGTGTTGAATCCCATGTAATAATAATAAAATAACTCTAGTTTCATTAAAAGTCCAAGTTTGTCACCAACAACCCCTCTCCCTGCATGCATACCCGTTCATAACCACACACACACATGCACAAACACATAGCTCAGGCTTGCTTAGGTGTTTGTAATGGGTGGCAGGTGGTGGATTTGACCTTTTCTGTGTTTTCCTGCTTTGTTTTTTTCCTACCAATCTCTAGCTTACCATTCATAGTTTCTGACCCCTTTTAGTTGATGTGAGGAATGGGGACAGGTAAAGGACAGGAAAGGTTTCACTGAACTGGCTGTGATGACATTATACTTTTGCCATGGTAGTTAGTCATTTAAAACCAAATCTCTTGGAGTTGGTGTTTAATAAAACTGACTCATTTTCTTGAGAAACATTTGTGGGTTCTTCAGAGTTTCCCTGCAAAAATATTTGACTCCAAGGCTATATCATACACCCAGCTGGTAGTCATATTTTCTCTCAGCTATTAGAAGCCAGTGGCCCACTCCTTGATAGGGTACCTGGTTCCTCCAGACAGTCCCCTTTGACAGGACTTAAAACAGCTCAAGCCTGGCTTGCTCTGTATGGCATGGTCAAATCTGATCCATGGGAATGTATACACATTTTCCCTACTCGCTCCCAGTGTGCAGGTCAGCCGTCTCTCACTTCTCCATTTCAGGGCTATAGCCACAGCCTCCCTCTCACTTTTAGGTTCCTCCAGTGCATTGTGCCTTCTAAATACCAAAGGACACTGTCTAGCTGTCCAGGTGATCTTCCTGAAGTGCCTCTCATGAGGCTTCAAGAGAAGGTAAAGCATTCCTCCTCTATCTAACGGGAGTGGGGATTGGGCTGCATAATACACTGATACCTCTCCTCAGAGAAATAGTCTGTCTGATTTTTAACCTCTCAGTGCATTGCATAATACACTGATACCTCTCCTCAGAGAAATAGTCTGTCTGATTTTTAACCTCTCAGTGTCTCCAACTTTAACATTTAAAAGGTGCATTTTTTAAAAACAGGTAATACTTTAATGTGATTAGAAAATAAGTAATATAAAAAGAATATAGTGAAATGTCGATTTTCCACTCCTGTCGCCTATTCATCCAATTTTCATCTGCTAAATAAAAGAAACCAGTTTTATTCAATTTTTTGTATCTTTCAGATTGATTTTAAATATATTAAAGGAAAAGTAAATACATATGTGTATCTTTTTGCATCATTCCATAATTGGGTGTATACTATACATATTCTGGACTTTGTTTTTTTGAGCAATATATTCCATTGTTGATCTATACCATGCTTTGATTAACCAGTCCCTTACTTATGAACATTTAAGTTATTTGTAGTTTTTAATATTATTTATTGCAATAAATAATGCTGAACATATATCATTACATTTGTGTGTGAATATGTCTGCAAAATAACTTCATAGAAGCAGAACTGCTGGTTGAAAAGTAAACACATTTGTAATTTTGATAGACACTGCCAAATTACCCTCCAGATGAGATATAACTATTTATACTCTTGCTATCAATGCCTGGAAAATTCTTATCTCACCAAAAGTTCTATACTATAGTATGTTATCAAACCTTTGGATGTTGCCAATCTGATAGTTAAAAAATGGTATTACAGTGTTCTTTTAATTTGCACTTCTCTTATTACGAGTGAGATTGAGCATATTTTCATATGTTTAATAGTTATTTGTATTTCCTTTTGTGTGAATTGTCTATATCCTTTACTCATTTTTCTTTCTTTCTTTCTTCTTTTATTTGGCATCTGGCCTGTTCAGGGATCCAAACCCATGAACTTGGTGTTATAACGCTGCATTCTAACCAAGTGAGCTAACATGCCAGCCCCTTTACACATTTTTCTATTAAGTTGTTGGCCTTTTCCTTTTTGATTTTTTAAAAATAGGATGTCATTACATATTAGGTATTTTAGTTACTGGTGATATGAGTTGGCTTTTTTCTTTTTGCCATGATGAATATTTTGATTTTTAAGTGGTCAAATTTGTCAGCCTTTTCTTTTAAGAACTCTGGGTTTTGAGCCATAATTAAAAAGGCCTTTATCATTTATAAGCCTTTAAAAAATTATCCCATATTTTTTCCTAATACTCTTATGATTTACCTTTTCTTACAAAGGGTCAGAGGGTAGCAAAATTGAAATATAGGGTAGAAATATAATCATATTTGAAACACATTTAATAGGTAGAAAGTATAAGAATTGGTCATCAATTTTTAGTAATAAGGGAGAGGGATGTTTCAAGGTGACTAAGGGTAGTAGGTATTTATTAATGCAAGACTGAAGCTCAGAATAGAGATCTTGCTAGAAATATAAAATCAAACATTTTTAGCTTATAGATTGTCATTGAAGTAGATGAGCTCATACAGGAAAGAGCCTTAGTGGATAGTGTCAAGCCTTGAGAAATCCCAGTGTTTACTGGTCAGGTAGAATAAAGAACCTTGCAAAATACACTGAGAAGAAGTAGCCAGAGAGAGGAAAAGAAAAATAAGAGAATGCAGAAGAGAGTATGGGATAAAAGTGTTCCAAGAAAGTGGGGATGAAAATGGGATAAGTATGAATGAAAAGTCAATAAATATGAAGTCTGAAAATTGCTGTCCTGTTTCCCTGCAATTAGTACATCTCTTTCTTGATTAGTATATTATATATTATCTCTCCAGCACCCAGAAATTCAGCTTGCACTGAGTCTTCAGGTTTCAGCTGCAGTGAGTGAGGCTTGGAGAGTATAGGGGTCTAGAGAATAGATGCCTGAGATACCTTGCTTCACCCCCATTGTTGAAACTTACCCTCTTTGAGGTAGAGAAGAGATAAGCTCATGAGGAGTAATATGTTCATTTTCTCCCTTGGATGCTTGTTTGGGTGACGGAAGGTGTACTCAATACCAGCTGAGTGAGGTATTGGAGAGGACAGCCAGTAGCCTGCCTTATAAAGCTTCGATGTTGCATCACAGCCACTAGATAGGAAGACAGTAGTCATAATACAGGCACGAAGCAGAACTTTTCCTTTTCCTACTTCCTTGTCCTAAGGAGCCATAAGTCTGCTCTAAAGCAGTGTCAGGGAATGCTTCTGGCCAAAGTTGAATTAGATTTCCTCCTCCTCCTCCTCCTCCCCACCCCGCCTCGCTCTTCCTTTTGTGGTCTGTGTGTACACATGTGAGTGTGCTATTGTCAGACTTCTGGTTCCCTAGAAACTTCTTTCTGTGTGCTAAGTGGGAGAGTGTCTGTCCATCCTTATGACAATGACTTGTAAAATGAGATGGGATATAGTCTCAGAATTCAAAGGTTTTCTGAGAGAGTTTTATCTAATATGTAGGTTTACTGATATGGCTCATTCTAACATTCGTACTGGAAACCTTTTCCTGAGTTTGAGCTTGAGCAAGGTTAGTTTTTCTCCTGAGAATCTTCACCACAATTCCCCCAGGCTCCTGATTTCCAATGTCTCCATCTGCACTCCATGGAAACCTTGAAAATTTCCTGTGCCTGGGAGTTTGGAATATCTATAGAGGCTCTTGAAGGTTCCCAGCAAATCTCTTGGAGATGGGAAATTTAGCGATGGAGATATGAGGCTACTTCAAAAAGTCCCTGGAAAAATTCATATTATTTTTCAATTCTATTTTTCCAAGAAATTTTTGAAGTACCCTTGTACAAGAAGACCTTCTCCAGAGATTTTCTAGGGGAGCTCCTTCTTGGGATCTGTACACATTTTCTGGATATTTCCTCAGCTTTGGCTCTTCTAATATTAGAGCTAGGACCACATCTCAACCATTCTCAGCTGTGTCTCAAATAATGTTCATGCTGTTCACTCCTTAAGGAAACCAAACAATCTGGTTCCAACCTCACCCCGGTCTTTCAGCTTCATTCTAGAAGCTTCTAGAGGAAGGCTTCTTAATATTCCTGCCCTCTTTAGAACTTGACCTTCTCAGTGAGACTTTCAAGGCCACTGCCATCTCCATGGTCATTCCCTCCTCTTCCTCAGTCCAGTCGTCACCATTGACTCACTGCCCTCCTTGCCTGGGTATCCCCATCTGTGTGTGACTTCAACTGGATGGATGCCTTTGACATTGACCCTAGCTAAAGGGTCTGGACTTCATTTAAAAATGACCACCATTAATATCTTCCCTGTTTTTACCTTAGCCATGTCCTTCTCCTTGGGGGATTTGGTGCTTGACAATTTCTAGGACCTTAATAAATACAGGCTCCCTCCCTTTCCTCCTTTTATACCCTTTATCTTATTGAATTCTAAAAGCAACTCTGTGAGGTATGTATAATTATTCTCATTTTTATAGGTGAGATAACAAACTCAGAAAGGTTCAGTAACACACCCAATCTCACATAGCTAACAAGTAGCAGAGTATTTGAACCCATCACTGTATGTAGGAAACATATTTGGGATAAAAGATGCCCTTTCTAGAAATCATCACTCACACAGATGAGTGGGTTTTTTTGCTGTATTTTCCAACCCACAGGGAAAAGATGATTTTTAAAAAATTAACTTCCCGGAACTACATCATAGTGAGGAAGAAATTAAATTTTATACTCTTTGGGTTGAGTACTTTATCTTAGTTTCCTACTGTAAAAATAAACCACAAACTTAGTGGCTTAAAACAACACAAATTTATTCTCTGAAAGTCCTGGAGGCCAGAATTCTTATTGGGCTAAAATCAAGGTGTCAGCAGGCTGGTTCCTTCTGGAGGTTCTGAGGGGAGAATCTGAATCCTTGACTTTTTCAGCTTCTAGTGGCCTCTGGTATTTCTTGGCCTGTTCTTCTATCTTCAAAGCACATCACCGCCATCTCTTTTTCTATCATCACATTGCCTTTTATTCTTCTGTAGTCAAATCTCCTTCTACTTCCCTCTTATAAGGACATTTGTGATTGCATTCAGGACCCACGTGGATACTGCAAGATAACCTCCCCATATCAAGATCTTTAACTTAATCATATCTTCAATGTTGCTTTTGCCATGTATAATAACATTCACAGGTTCCAAGGATTAGGATGTAAAAATCTTTGAAAGCCATTATTAAGCCTATTGCATACTCTCAGAAGCAAGACCATTGTACCATCTTCTTGGGCCCTTCTGTTTGCCCATATGCCATCACCTCCAACAAGATGTGTCTCTCTCTGCCTGGCCTTCTTGCTCACCCACATTCCTATCCCGCCTTCATTCAGGCCACAGCAAAGACCTGCTCTTGTAACAGTCTGACATTTGCTGTTATTGACATTTGCTGTTCCTCTTGGCACTCTCCCCTATTTCCTTGCAGCTAATTCCTCACTAGCTTTCAAAGTCCTGTTCAACCACTCCCTCTTCAAGGAGGCCTTTCCTGGTCAGATAGTCTAATTTGAATGCCCTTCATTTAGCCCCCCATAGCTAACTATACTTGATGTACTCATGGTCTCTTTAACTAGATACCAAGCTCTGTGAGGTCATCAACTAATGTCTTAGTCTAATGCAGAGTCCAGCACTTAATAAAATGACGGTTTATTGAATAATAGAGTTGATAAGTTAGTCAATGAGTGGAAATTATAGGAGCAGACCTCCCTTAGCTCAACTTTGGGGAGAATTTTATAATAAATTGAACCAAAGATATAATGGAGGGACTTTGGGTAGTAATTTTTCAATGGCTAGAGGATTAGGGTGAGCACTTTCCTGGGAATGCTACAGGGAACTCAGATAGGGTAGCTTGGTTCTTGGGATAGTAAAGTCCTATCTGGTTAAGGGATTTTATGATTCTGTGATATTGTAAATAACCAAAGGACAGATCACAGGGGGAGAGCAGCCAGCACCTCCCACAGGGAGTTGCACATGACAAAGGCCTCAGGATGTTTGTTCTATAGCTCTGTACCTCCTGGGCACAGTCACTCTGCTCAGTCCATTTGGACTCCTAAAAACAGAGGGGCAGTTGGTGGTTGATTGAGAGATGCAATAATGCTGTGGGAGGGGACGCTTTAAAAATTGGCATGTAAGGAAGCAGCAATAGATGAAAGTTATATTGCAACAAGGAAAATTTTTCTTTTTTGCACAGGAGGGTTACTAGATGCCAATAAAGGTACAGTATTTGAATAAATTTGATCATTTGTGAAATGTTTGGGAGTAAAGGGGAATGATAATGCTTCTCCTACTCTTTAAGAGAACTGTATCCTATTTCCTCACTACAAATATCTGGGTTCCCTCTATTCTCCTAGTCCATCCTAACGGCTACCTAATCCCCCCTCATTCCTCCCTCCTCTACATTGCAAGGCCTGCTGGCTACATGAGGTGTTGGTAACTTGTGATCCTTGGATGGACTACCCGGAGATATTTACAACATTGCTTTTATGTCTGCAGAGATCCTCAAATAACAGGACACTAAAACCATGAATCATAAAAGCATGATGAACTGGATCATATCAAAATAAAAAATGCCGTTCATCAAGGAGAAAACTGAGAGTAAAAAAGCAAATCACAGAATGGGAGAAGATATTTCTAAATATATGATAATTCCAATATTAGTGAGGATGTAGGGCATAAACTTCCTGTAGGAGTGTAAATAAGGAAGACAACCTCACTTTGAAAATTTTGGGGCGTTAACTACAAAAGTTTAACGTACATTTTAAACATAGCATAATATCCTGTGGCCCACCAATTCTACTCTTAGACACATTGCCAACCCAAGTATATTCATATTTGCACCAAATACATGTACAGGAATGTACATTGTCACTTTATTAGTAATAGCCCCAATCTGGAAATAATTCAAATGTCTGTTAAGAAACAGATGGATATCATATATATGACATCCATAATTTGTACTGAATACAATGGGAATAAATTCAACTACAGATATCATGGATAAACCTCACAGACATAATGTTGAGTAAGTGAAGAGATACACCCAAAAATATAAACTATGATTTAATTTAGAAAAAGCTGAAAAACAGAAAAAAACAATCTACAATATTATGTTAGCAGTTTGGATACTAGTTATATTTGGAAGAAGAGACGTTTAATAAGGGGCAAGGGATGTACGGCAGGAGCGTTGATTCTGAGGGCTGGTAATGCTTCATTTCCCCAACTGCATGCTATTTATGCAGGTATGTTAATTTTGTTATGATTTGTTAAGTTTACACTTATGACCGAGTTTTTCTTTGCCAATTTAACAGATATTTAAAAATTATTGGTATAATATTGTTCACAATATCATTTTAGGATCTTTTTAATGTCTGTAGGTTCTAGAACAGTATCTACTTTATTCTTAATCTTGGTGATTTGGCCTTCACTTTTTTCCCTTGGTCAATCTTGCAAGAGTTTTATTGATTTTATTACTCTTTTTAGAACCATATTTTGTTATTTTGTTTTTGATTTCATTAATTTCTGCTTCAAAAATTATAATTTACATCTTTCTATTTTCTTTGGGTTTATTTTGCTATTTTTTACTAGATTTTTGAGACAGTTGTTTAGATTATTGATTTTAAGTCTTTTTTTCTTGTATTCTCTTAAGGTTATAACTGTTCCTATAAGAATATCTTAGGTCATTTCACAAGTTTTAATATGTTGTATTTTCATTATAATTTAACTCAAAATATTTTCCATTTTCACTATGATTTCTTCTCTATTCCGTGTACTATTTAGAAGTATATTTTTAATTTTTGAACATATTAAAGTTTTCTAGTTATCTTTGTTATTAATTGATAGTTTAATTGCACTTTGGTCTGAGAACATCTGTCTGTATGATTTTAGTTTTTTGAAATTTGTTGAGATTTACCTTATGTCTCAGAATGTGGCCTATCTCTGTAAGTATTTCACGAGTGCTTGGAAAAATGTGTATTCTGCAGTTGCTAGATTAGTGCTCCAGATGTCAATTTGGTCAACTTTGTTAGATATGGTGTTCTAATCTTCCATGTCCTTACTGTTTTTTAAACTATTTAGTCTATTTATTACTGAGAGAATGTTTTAAAATCTCTAACATGTGCACTGTCTATTTCTCCTTTTAGTCCTG